CGCACCGGCAACCCCGCACAGGGAACAAGCCAGTAGAAGATTATCATAATCATCATCATATTCATTATTTTTGTTATATTTTATTAGCATCATTAATTATTATTACCATTACTGACGTTATCATTATTATCATTTTTGTCATTCCAATTATGGTTGTAATTATCATTATTATTATCATTATTACTATTTTTATCAACATTATCATACTTATTATTATCATTATTATCAGCTTTCTTATCATTATCGTCATTATTATAATCAAATTATGATTCTCACTATTATTATTATTATCATTATTTTTATTAATATCATTATTATCATTATTTTTATTAATATTATTATTATCATCATTTTTTTATAAATATTATTATTATCATTGTTATTTTTATTGTTATTACTTTTATTACATGATTATCATTATTACTATTATGATATTCCTTTGTATTATCATATTGTTGCAATCATTATTATGTCTATTATGATTTTAAATATTGTTATATTATTTTTATTATTATCATCATAACCACTATCATTATAACTAATATTATCATCATTATCGTAATTACTGTTGTTATTATTATTATTACCATCATTATGATTGTTATAATCATTAATGTCATTAATCACTTATCATTATTAATATTTTAATATTAGTATCATTATTACTATCCTAATCGTAATTATATTATTATTGATATTATTATGATTATTTTTAACATCATTACCATTACCACAATTATTTTCATCATTATTATTATCATCATTATTATCATTATCATAATCATAATTATTTTCATCATCATTATTATTATCATTATTACCATTTTCATTATCATAGTTTCTGTGTTTGTTGTTGTTATTACTGTTATTATTATTACCATTGTCATTTTTACTATTACTATGTACTTCTTTTTCTATTGTCATCGTTATTACTATTACTGTTATCATCATCGTCATTACCATCATTCCTAGTATCACTAGCAGTATGATATTTTTTTATTATTATTATTATTACTACTTTTCGTTGTTCTTATTATTTTTATTGCTGTTGTTGTTGTTTTTTCATTGTTATTCTTATTGATATTATTATTATCATTATCATTATTTTTATTCCATTATTATTGTTATCATTATTATTTTATTGCTATAATCATTATGATCATAATTTCTATGATTTTTTGTATCGCTGTTGTTGTCGTTTTTCACTATTATCTTCATAATCATTATTATCATTATCATTAGTACCATTAGTACTATCATCATTGTTAATACTGCTAACATTGCTATTGTTATTATCATTATTTTCATTATTATTACTATTACTATTACTATTGTTATTATTATCACTATTGTCATTTCATTAGTAGTAGTAGTATTACTAGTATTTTCATTATCATCATTATCATTATCATTATTAGTATCATTGTCAATATAGTTTCACTATTACTCCCTATTTCACCATTATTATTATTATTATTATCATTACCATTATGATTTTTATCGTCATTAATATTATTATTATAATTATTAAATTTATGTTATGATGATCAGCATTACTAGTATCACCATTATGATTAGAATATATGTAACAATTACAATGATGATATAATGATAATAATACTCATAATAATAATAATAATAATAATAATAATAATAATAGTAATAATAATAATAATAATAATAATAATAATAATAATAATAATAATAATATTAATAATAATAATAATATTATTATCATTATTATTAATAATAATAATATTAATAATAATAATAATAATAATGATAACAACAACAATTATTATTATTAATAATAATAATAATAATAATAATAATAATAATAATGATAATGATAATAATAATAATAATAATAATAATAATAATGATAAGGATAATGCACGCACGCACGCACACACACACACACACACACACACACACACACACACACACACACACACACACACACACACACACACACACATGACCTTACGCAGCGCACATGTCCGCTTTCACAGGTAGTTCCGCAGACGAAAGTCACCGCAGTGGCCTTTCTGCCCGGCAGCCATGGGGCAGATGCATGCGTAATTGGTAGACGTGTCTCGACTCCGTCATGAGTGACCCGGATGGTATCGAGTGCGGCCACTAGTTCTAGCTGCCTGTGCCAAGGCGCTGGGCAGCACGCGACCCAATGACTGCACTTGGGCACACACTGCATGTCTGCCCCTTGACTTTGTTTCGAAGTTGGCTCTCGATGCGGCAAGGCCTCAAGGGAAGTGCTCACGTTTATTGGCCTCGAGATTCAAACTAGTTCATGGTAGATGTTAGTATTTGTAAAAAAAAAAAAAAAAAAATCGTCGTAATTTACGTAATAAAGATGTCATTTCGTTGGTATCAATACCCGTTATTTCTTTGGTATTAATACTGTATCAGGAATTCACTCCGGTTACAACTGCTTCCTCTAATATCGTTAATCAAACTTTCATAAATCCTAAATCATTTAATCCAAAATGCAGTAATTAAACATCTTTAAATGCTATATAAAATGCAGCTTTGTTCCATTTTTTAATGATCTCATTAATATAGCTGTATAATATAGCTTTTTATTTTTTCCTGAAAAGAACATGGTTGGTAAATTTATATCATAACTCCAGTGCAGCCACTAGACTGCAAGTCGATGCCCATGGAAGCGTGTTTTAGCACACTTAACGTATTCTGTGGAATTTTTCGTACTCCCTGTTCCTGTCCCCATGATGACCTCATGGAATACGTAATTACCGTGCTCTTGGTCAAGGTTCCTTTAACACAATCATTCATTCTCTAGGTGCTTGTGATACAAGTGGGGCAATGATTCCCAAAATGAGATATCCCAAACAAATACTGCTAGGTTAGTAGTCAAAGTGGCAATAAAATGTACATAAAACTACTTTTCTGACAAGACTTCGAAGTAACTAACAGTCCAAGTTCCTTGTCGAAGTCGAAGTGGGTAACAATTCAAGTGGACATGTTCGCGGAGGAACGTACGTATTAAGCTGATGCGGCAGAATGGCCAGTTCCTTTCCACCCCTACAGTCAGTCAACATCTGAGTCAACTAAGAGGGGCTGACCGAACCGTGCACTTGAAAAGCCAGGTATGCCAGATATTCCCTATAAGACTATATAATCCTAAGGGCAAAGAAGTACAGACTCTAGTCCCTGCATCTCCTCTTCGTCAAAGTTATGTTCAAAGATCGAATACAAGGTAGCAAACATTACAGTAACGATGCAGCATTCCTTCCGGTATGCACCTCACATCTCCACCTGCATCTGTAATGGAAAGAGGAAGTAATAAAGTCGGTCGGGATAGACCGTTATCATGGCAGTTGCCTGGCGGGAGCCTCGCTGCCTTCATCCATAAGGGAGTTTGCGTAACCTTATCTCCTTACTGTTGATTATTTGACCCGGACCCTGTGACAGTTGCCGCTTTCTAGTGAGAGCAAGAAAGGAGGTTGCTTCTTCTACCTCTCGCCACCAACCTAATTAATGAAATGGAAAGCCGACAGTGGATATGCGCGTCATGCATGCTGTGTAGCATCACAACAACTGGTTCTTTCTTCATTGGTGCTGCGAGGAACCTTGCAACCTTATGTCTTTGACGAGAAAAGGAAACATTTGACACCATTTAGACCCGAGGCTCTGAAACGCTCAAACGCGAGGGTAGTTTGAAGATTGAAGAAATTTTGAATATACAAATTAGTGTAGCGTAGAATTTTAAAGATATCATTTATAACTCCTCGAGTTATATTTCCGTCTTGAGGTTCGCCATTGCAGAAAAGGCTGTTCAGGATCGACTCCAGAAACATTTGCAACGTAACCGAAATAAGTCGTTCGATCAAAATGTCATATCTCAAATTTCATCCATTCGTCAAAAAGGAGAAAAAGTAAAGGAAAAAATGTTGCGGGCTCGACAACAGCTTTTTATTATCTTTAGAGTACAGGTCATTTCACACAGTGTACAGAGCAAGGAATAGCTGAGACATTTACTAACATATATTGTAAAGGCGTGTTTCAGTTTATCATCCTGGGATGGAGCAAGTTGAATAGAAAATTACTATATTCAAGCATATTACACTCTACCGTGTTGATATTATGGTAGAAAAAAACACAATGCACAAACTAGATTTTAATAAATCTTCATAAATTTTAGTAAATCTAGTTTATGCATTGTAGGTTTTTCTACCATTGCCACAGTAAGCAAAGACGTAATCCGTCACTGTATTTTTTTTACCATTTAATATCATTCCTTGAGTTTTTCATTTTAGCAGTTATTTTAACTCTAGAAGTTATGAACTTTCTAAATTATTTTCAATTACATGACGATAAAAAACACTACTTTTCCACCAATTCTAATTTTGATACAATAACGCTTTTGTCAAAGGAAAACCTTTTCACTAAAGTTTTGTTCTCTGCCACAAGAAGACACTGTTTGGCGGATGTTTTTATTGGTCTGTGGTTTGGGTAAAAACACGCCTGAATTTAGTCCTCTGGCGTTGTGGATGCGAGCATAACATTCTGAAAACAGCCTTAGTTATCCCGCTATCCTGTGTGGTTCCTGATGGCTGCTGCTTTGTTTTATTTTTATGGATTAGATTTGTTTAAATGTTCTAATTACCAAAGACGTAAATGAATTGATAGATGAATGAATAGATAAGCAAGTAAAATATCAACTATGTGATCGAAAAGGAATCAATATTCATTTAGACGACTTTGAAAAGGATGTGAATAAAACCCGGGGTATTTTTTTTATATTATTAGCATTGTATAGAAGAATAACAAGCATAATACATAAATATTATCTCTTAGTAAAACAACAAATTACCTGATCTTCATGGAAATAACAATAACATTAGTGCGAATTCTAGAAAGGAACCATATTTATCAACTGTGGTTAACTCTTATTGATAATACATATATAAATATATATATACATATATATATGTGTGTGTGTGTGCGTGTGTGTGTGCGTG